ACACTGATTATAGCTGATATGACTTTCGCAAGCATGAGTCTGTTTATTTTACTTTATAAAGTCAACAACATTTCGCTCACCTGATTAAGGTAAATCCATACTTTTAATTTTGGTTTCAAAGTACACTTAACTAGTCAAAATATAATCTATAAGTATTTATTTAGGCATTTTTGGAAATATGTGTTGAGGAAATTTTCTGGTCTATTCTTTCTTAATTGTTTGATTGTAAAGCAAAAAATCTTTTAAAAGTAGTAACAGCTTGACAACCAAAAGTCACCCTCGAATTTTTAATCTATGGTATACGTTTGACCAAGTTTTCGCAAAATGGTTAAAGCGGCAGCGAGACCTTGTGGAATGTACCTAATCCTACATTCTCTGTCATATTTTCAGCATCGAAACATTGACTTGGTACATTCTCAGGCATTTCGTTGGCACCGGATCAGCATGTTCGGTGAGCCTTCTCATTTTTAGCACAAAACCCAAACTCATCAAGGATGTAATTAAAGTCCATCCTTTAACCAATTTTATGCTAAAAAGAAGGGATAATTCCCTTTCCATGTCGATAAGTATACCTATGTCATATTCTTTCATAGCATTCCTCAGTCTCATATTGTATAGCTTGTTGATTTCCACTTCAACATAAATATAATAAATTGGAACATAATTATTGATGCCTATTTGCACTCCCTGGTGTCTTCTTTATTTAATCCCCTCACTTATTGTGTGAATAGGTGGATCTTAGATAAAAGATGCCAAAATGGATATAGTGTAAAGAAAAAATTGAATATATGCCAATTATTTTGTGAAGTGAATTAAAATTTGGATGATCGTGGTATCTCGAAGGACAATACCGCCCTCTTTAGTAGCTTGCTGAAGCAAAATAGGAAAGTGTAACAACCGGATTTCTCTAAAGTTTACCGATGTAATAGGAGAAAAAATTAGCCTATGAATCAAGGAACACCGAAAAATCTGTAGACAGCGATAGGTAAAAATCCAAACTGGCTGAACACATTTCACAGAGGGAACATCAAGTAGAATGTAAAGTAAGAGGATGGGCCACGTATGGTGAAAATAAAAGCAAATACATTGTCTGAGAGACCAACGATTTCCTGAGCAAATGATATGAAATTGAAGTTAGCGAAGATTTTGCGTATCGCATAGAAAGACAATGAG